AGTTATAGAATTTTAAACAAAACATTTTGGACATGTTGCTTCTTCACTGTCTTCAGTATCAAATCCACACATTATTGCAATGAAATTCATTGGAATTAGGTCTCAACTGCTAATTAAGAATATCTGTTTTTGTTCTTAGCTGCATTCTTCAAGACCCCCGATGTGGTAGCCGATGAAGGAGTCAATGCCTTGCGAATCTTAAAGATGTTCCAGGCAGCGCCAGCAACATGCCCTGCAGTCGCTAGCACATCTTCGGTGGCCTCTCCTGCTCTCTCCCCAAACCTAACATATAATTCAACCCTGTTTGTTAGAAACAGTGCTACCTAAATGTTTCGGTTTAGTATAATTTTTTATTTTTTATTTTTTATTTTCCTTTTTTTATTTAAATATTTAGTAACTATTACTATATTCAAAAATCAAATTTATTAAATTTAACGTAAATATAGTATTAATTACGATATATATAATGAAAAATTAATAACCAAAAACCAAAACTATAATAAACAGAGCTATGTTAACAAGTCTAAAATACAAGCTTCAAATATTTACCTCTCGCTAACCATTCTAGTTGTGGCACTAGAGGTTGAGGAAAGAGCTTGTTTTTCCGCTGCTTCAGCCGCATCTAGAATTCTATCTGCAGTACACAAAGATCAAACAGGTAATATGTTGTTACTAATATCCTGAAACATGACAATTTGGAAGCATGCACTTACTAACAGCATCAAGGGAAGCCAAGATGACTTCTCCTGGAACCATGCTAAGGAAAGCTTTTCCGGGCCTGGAGTTAACCAGGGGTGCCATGACTGTTCCTGTGGCTAACCCCACAATATCCACCATGGATTTGCTCATCTTTTCTGTGGCTTTGGACAGCTTTCTCACACTAATGTAACAAAAATCAAATAAATGAAATGATTAGTCTTGTTCTTTTGACTTAATGGAAAAAATGTCATGTCGTCCGGACAATAATCTAATGGAACTGTTCTTATCTTGGGATTACCGTTTCAAGCTTTTGTTGATTCCACTCTTTTTTGTGTCCCCACCCCTCGATGCTAATCTGACCCCATTTTTCTCCTCTGCTGCTTGTGTTAAAATGATTTCCCCTCCCTTCTGAATCTGCATTTTCCCTTATTTTCCTTAGATTGACCAATAACAGAAACAATGAATTAATATTCATACACAAATGTGTCCTTCAGTCCAAACTAACAAAATTTTTAGCCATTTCAGACTGAAAAAGATCATTCTTTTAGCCACCCTTAATGAATCAATGTGTGAACTAATGCAAAGTACCCGTAATGATCTTTTTGAAACCGTCAATTAGTTCATACTGGAAAACAGCGAAGTCATATCTTAAATAATTATTAAAGTATGCAAGTCCTTTGCATATTTTCCTGATATTGATGTAATATTTTTCAACTTGGTAAAGCAAACCTGGTTGGTATAAGCATTACTGCATTTGAAGATTCCCTTGACAATCTGCCCTGTTCCTCCAGCAATTGCCTTAGCCAAAATGTTGTTATAATCTTCAATCTTTGGAGCAAACTCCTTCCAATCTAGATCTTTTCTCCTCTTTGTTGTCGCGCCATCACCGGAAAAGCATGTGTGCTCCTTCAGAAACGAATCCAGCAGACCCAAATTACCACCACCCTGCCCCTGTTGCTCCGGAAAGGTCACCCCATAACTCAAGGGATCCCCGTCTTTCATGGGCAGCGAAAACAGGTAATGCAGGGAATCCAGCTTGACCACCGGCTCGTCTTTTGTCAACGGCCACTGCAGATCGTCGCCGACTTTAATGACGGTGGCCAGAGGAACATTCTGGTCAGATATTTGGAGCAGAGTGAAGTCTCCCCAGGCGAGTTCCATGGCTTCGCCTTCGTCCATGAGGTGAACTGTGCAGTTTGGAATCTGCAGAAGAATCTCCTGTGATCTTAGGTTCCTAGTTTCTGCGTTTTGTTGCGGCAGTGGAAGGGTGGCGGCTTCCAAGGAGAAGGAAGTCATGGTGGTGCTGTTCTTGGGACTATTTGACCGGAAACAGCAGCCCATTTTTGCGTTTTGTGCTAAGTTAGCTTCGTTCTTGAAAGAAAAATGATTGTTGGGGGTATATGGAGTAAGTGGGGAAGGGGAGAGAAGTAAAGTGGGGAATAATATTAGGAATTGTTTTTGGGTGATTTGATTCTTTGTTAGTGACTTTACAAGGTTCCTGGTGAATAAATTCGCCTCGAGGCTTGTCTTTTTGGTAAAAGGAGATGAGATAATATATTAGACAATAGAACCTCAAGGATTGTTTGCTTTGGCCTTTCGGTGGAGGAAAAAATCACAACTTTTATTAAGCTCATGTTTGAGAAAGTGAATTTGGCCAACCATCCTATCTCAAAATAATAGTTATTTGACTCAGAAATTGGATGCATTAGTAACTAAAAAAGCATCTTCTGCCTTGTAGGATTTAAGTTTGAGGATTAATATTAAAAAATTATTATTATTATTATTTTTTAAATACATTAAGATGATAGTAAAGCCATTAAGATTGTTTTAAGAGATATTAGAGTCAAGGTATATAAAAATTCACTTAAGAATATTTAACAGTAAATATCAAATATTTGTATCATTTTTTGTGAAAATTTTGTCAAACTAAAAATCAAAATATTTTGATATTAAAAAATATTATTAGTAAAAGACATTTATAACTGTATGATAGATAGAATATAAATGAAATTTATATTATATCTTATTCAACATGTATTCATGTGGTTGTGATTGTTCAAGTCCTAATTTTTTGAATTTTTTGTTCAAAATTAAATATTATTTTTTATTTAAAAAGTTAAAAATATTGTTTATATATTTAAATTCTATTATTATCTTTTAACTTTAATTACTTAGTTTATCACCCAGATTTTTTTCTCACTTTTTTCTCCATCATCTCTTGTTTAAAAGTAAACATTGTAACAAACATAAATTGTCCACAATTATAATATAACACACCTCCCTTAGATACTCTCAATCCTACACTTGTCTTGAAGTAAGATTTATAGTAAAGAATTACAGTGGAAATAAAAACACTTATAATATAAAATGTTTCCTTAAAAGAAAACTTGTTTTTAAATCAATTTAAAAATTATGTACATAAAAGTAATTTACACAAAAATTATATGAAACAAATTTCTTCTCCAAAACTTTTCAAAAGAACAAAAGCTGAGTCATTGTTTTGGTAACACATCGATCTACTTCCTTATCGAAAACACGAGGCCCTAGCTTGTACATACAACAAGCATATGAGTCCCGTGCTAAAAGCTCTCAAACTGAGAGGCTGCTACCTTGATCTACTAATCTGAAATGGAGAGGAATTTTATGAGTTAAAAGCTCAATAAATAATAAGTTTAAACTATAAACTTGGGTCCTAAGACCCCTAGACCTATACACATAAAAAGCATGAGATACAATGAAACCAAATCGCATAACATTATAATTCTCAATATTTAAATAATAACTTAATATTTCTAATCATAATCATACATGTCAAGGAATAATCAATAACATTTAATTTAAATTCATATAGTAAAATCATATGCTCACAAATACGATGTCACAAGCGCAATGCATAAAATCGAAAATCACACAATGCTATGGAGTCCACTGATGTGTGGTAACAACACTATACTGAAGCTAATCACAGTACTAACCTTACTGCACAGAGGTCCACTAAATACCCCGAATAGTCCACTGAATACTCCAACCTTTAAGTTTAAGTCCACTTACTCCATAACCACAAGCACATACGCATGTCAAACAAGTTTAGAACATGTCCAAAATAATATTAGAATATTATCCCATTTAATGTTCCCATTAATCAGTCACATGAACAATTCAAGTTCATACTAATATCCACATACACAACTTACATATTCCATAGAACTTCATATTGAAAAAAATTGAAGTACACTGCATGAATGGTAATTAGTGCGTGAACAGTATTTAGAACAGTATTTAGAACAATATTCGTAAACAATAATCCATGAATAGTAACCCGTGAAACAGTTCCAGCAAGGTCCTTTAATCCATAAAATTCACACTAAATCAAACATTAAAAAAATAATAATAATTCACGATTCTTTCCCATATAAGCCCCAAAAATTGACATGTTCTTAACAAAATCTTAATACCCAAATATCTATTAAACTAAAGCTTTGGGGTCAAATTTGACTAATTTAAATTAATTTTTAGTTTATTAAAATAAATCTATAACCTACCCAAAGAAACTCTACCTCAAATTTATAATTAAAACTAATACTTATCCAAAAACTTTAATCCCAAATTCATAACTTAAAACTTGTACTTACCTATGAAAATCCAAGCATAAAGCAGTAAAATTGCAAGAAATTTTTAGTTGGAGAGTATAGATTTAGCACCGCACCAAACTGAAAGGAGAAAGAAAGGTGCAAATGAGAAGAAGGAAGGATACAGAGGAGTGCTGGGGGTTCGAAGCCTTTTGGAGGTTTATCCAATACCAGCTGAAAAATCCTTACCTGGTGTAATGCCATGTTGGAAAAAAAAATTGGAATAATTGAGTTAAGGCCCTTCAACGCCTCTTAAGTTCTACTTAAAACCCCAAAACTTTAAATTCAATCAATTTAATCCCTAAAATTATAAACTAAAGGACTCTAATTTTTAATTTACTCACTAAGGTATATAGGGTGTTACATATAAAGCCCATTCAGCAACTTTTTTTGTTGTTGTTATTGTTGTTGTTTTTCTTTTCTTTTCTTATAGCTGAAATTTGATTGATTGAAATTAAAAATTAATAGTTGAAATTAAAAATTAAAATTGACAACCTAGTAAGTATAAATTACAAAATTGATAACAAAAAAATTGATTAACATTTTTTTTACTATTATTCAAATTTTAGCAACCAAAATAAAAAAATTGATAATAATAATTTTAGGGCCCTTAATCTATGAAAATTATTTTTAAAAAGAAAATTATTATTTTTGAACGAGGGAAGTTGATAGGTGGAAATGCAATAGTAATACTAAATTTGCTGCCTTAATTTTAATAAAATTTTAGGATGTTTGATTTGGATGTAACTTTTATTAAATATTTATGTGAATATATTTTATATAGGAGTAGTCTTATTTAAAATAAATATAAAAAAATTTAAAAATTAATAAATATTATCAAATTAAAAAAATTTAACAGTAAATTATCTATTAGAAGCAATAGCTTATGAGCTTTATCTTCTATCTTTTTCTTTCTACCCTTAAGAAGTTAAAAACAACTTTAAAAAATAAAAAAATCTTTTTGATAAAACTGTATTTGACTCAGTTTTAACATTTCTAGCTAAGAAGATATTTGAAAAAGTTAAGACACTTTAATGAGCTTTATGCCCTATTTGGTGTGGCTTGTGAGAGTTTTTGTTTTTTGAGTACTCTGAGTGATAAATTTAAATTTTTATTGGAGGAAAAATTTTAAAGTTGCTTTTAAAGATAGGAAGAAGTAAGTGAAAAATAAGTAAAAAATGAATTTATGAAAAATTTGAATTTGAAACTTTTAAACTTTTACTGTTTAAAATTTTTTAAAGTTAAAAAAATGTTTAAAAATATAAGTTTTTAAAAGAAAAATTTTAATTCATAAAATATAAATAGTATCAAAAAACTGAAACTCTTAAAAACTGATCCAAACTTAATCATGTTGATTGCCTTGCACAATGGAACCATTAATGGAGTTGGATCCATAGGGCCTGTGACAGAAGGAGGCAAAGGAGTAAAGTCATTACCAATGAGGGATTGGATCGAGTGGTAAGCGGCTTGTTCCAGCTTAAGCAAGGTTTCGAGTTTGAGATCTTGTGAATGCAGCAGTCTTCGCTGGGAGACTCACCCACCGCGCGACGCGAATCAGGTCCGGATTAGTCAGGACGAAGTCTCGGATACCGGGTGAAAAACCAAAAAAAAAAAAAGAGTAAAGTCATTTGTTCTGCTACGATGTTTACTGCGTATAAACTGTGGAAGGAGAGGAATAATACAATGTTCCTAAGAGAAAGTTTTCAGACAGTGCAATGGCAATACCACGCGAATTGTGTTTTGGTTCACTTAAAAACATAACGACTCAACACATGTTAGTCTAACCATGCAAAATTTGCTTTATTTTAAAAAAAAAAAAACAACCACAATTTTTGGAAAATGAAAAAAAGAAATAGAGTCAAAAGCAAATGAGTAACAAATAATACCGCTTCCACTCACCTAGACCATTCGCTAATTTTGCTTCGTTCGTACTAACAAACAGCTTTGAGTCGCATTCAATCCCATTAATTTTGCTTTGTTGGACTGATATATGCTGATTTGTTAAGTTTTTAGTGAACCAAAACACATATGATGTGGTGTCTGAGTTGCACTAAAAACTTTGTTTTCAAAGGATTTCATAATGATAATTAAGTGTTGGGTACTATATATATGGAACACATTCAGTGAGGCCAAAAAATATATGAAATAATTTCATTTT